ATCGCCGGAGCCCAGCAGGTCGAGGCTGCGGTGGCCGGGAGCGGCCGCTGCACCCCAGTCTGGGCGACAGAGTGAGACTCCCACTCAAAAGAAACCCGACTCTGGCCGTCTCAGGCCTACTCCTCTGCTCCAAGCCCTCATTCCCAGCAAAGGCTGTGGCTCCAGGGCACCAGTCAGCTGATGCCTGAAGGCTCATCTGCTCCGTGTCCTGCTGGTCCAGCTGGTTGGGGCCAGCCTGCTGATTGTGTGTGTCGAACCTGTGGTTTACACAGCAGCACCGGACAGGCTGCCACGTTGGCAGAGCCATTCTCTCCCTTTAAGCACCCTCAGCGGGGCAGTGGGAAGCAGGAGAGCAGGTGGATTTGGAGGTGGTTTGAACGGCTGCCTGTTCGCCTCCCAAGAACTGAGGCAGCCAGGACAAAAGACTGTCATGGGTGGGGGAGGGCGGTGCATGAAGAGAGGAACAGCTTCCTGAGGAAGCAAGAGACAGGGACAGGCACTGCAGGGCAGCGGCCTGTCTCGGGGGGATGGGGGCCTGACCCCCAGGGCCTCCTGCCACGGGACCACTTTGGAGGCTGCGCAGAGAGAACAGGCCTCCTCTCCTGTCTGAGCGCTTTGAGTCAGCAGGGTGTGTGTGTGTGTGTGTGTGTGTGTGTGTGTAAGGAGCAGGGAGGAGCCGTGGAAAGACATCTTTTGGGAAAGACGGTGTGTCTCTGTGTGTGAGAGACCTGTGGATGGATCCGCACGGCTCTGGGTGTGCGCGCTGCAGGTGTGGTTCCATGAAGATGCGTGTCTGGGTGCGTCTCTGTGTCTGTGACAGGGCTGGCAAAATCGCCCAGGGCAGGGAGGCTCTTAAGGGAAGTCCCTTGGCCCCCTGCCTGCTGAGAGGGCCTGGTGGCCGCCAGCTCCCGTCAAGGCCTCCCACGCCATCTGTGCGGGCCCGGCAAAGCCCTGTCCCTGACGGAGGCAGCCGCCCCTCTGGCTCCATTTCCTCGCTGCTGTGGAATCGTTTTCCCAAAGGGCTTGACAAGTGAAGCACAGACACCACCACCTAAAGATGGCTTGTCGATGGGCTGCTTTGGTGGCCTCTGCCGGCCTGGAGTTCCACTTCGACTTCAGTTTGCTTGATAATCTGTTTATAATCTGCGTCTCCTCTCTGATGCCTATTGCCACCACTCCCTTGATGAGGTCTGAAACCGCTGTCATTAAAGTATTAGCTCACTCTGCTGGAAGGCTGTGGCCCAAGTGCGCTGACGGCATCCGGAGGCGTGTGAGTTTAGGGAGGCCTCGATGATGAGGGGTGGAGGGCTGGAAACTATTTAAGCTTCTCTGAGGGCTGGTGCAGGAAGAAGAGCAGGGACCTGAGATCCTGGTGTCCTGGCCACGTGCCTGGGCGTCTTTGGAATTTTCCAGGCCTGTTTTGAGGAAACGTTCTCACCGGTGATATGCCGGTCAGGACAGTGTATGTGTTTCTACGGGGATGGAGCTGGCTAGGGTGCTGATTTGTCTCCAGCACAAAACCTTTAAAAGTAGATTTGCCGGGCGTGGTGGCTCATGCCTGTAACTCTAGCAGTTTGGGAGACTGAGGTGGGAGGATGGCTTCAGCCCAGGAGTTCAAGACCAGCCTGGGCAACATAGCAAGACCTCGTCTCTACAAAAACATCAGGAAATTAGCCGGGTGTGGTGGCAGGTGCCAGTAGTTCCAGCTACTTGGTGGCTGAATCGGAAGGCTCGCCTGATCGATCCAGGCGGTCGAGACTTCAGTGAGCCCTGATTGTTCCACTGCGCTCCAGCCTGGGCGAGAGTGAGACTCCGACACACACACACAACACATTTTTAAATAAATAAAAAGAGATAAATACGAGTAGATTCCTGCCCTTTATCTCACTTCGCAAACACTGGGAAACCGAGGCTGAAGGAAGCGAGGGCCAGAAACCCCAGCCTCCTCCCCCAGCTACAGGAAGCAGGCATGGGATGGGGTGGCTCCCCTATTAGAGGCCGAGCCAGAGGCAGGCAGACTCGTCATACGGTAGGAAGTGCTTTTTGCCTCCTGACCCTGGCCTCCCTTGCTTTCTGTGGAAGTCGTAAAGAAACTGAGGCCCGTACGCACGTACGCCGCTGGTGAGACTTGGGTGACATGGCACGTTCCCCAGGAGTGTCCGCGGGAGACCCAGGCTGTGACTCTGAGCTCGGTCAGGGGTCCCAGGGCAGAGGAGCCGCCTTCTCCCTCCCGCCTGAGGGCCCTGGCCCCCTCCTTCCCTGCCATCCACCAAGAGCGGCAGCCAGGAGTTTGTGAAAGGCGCAGGTTTCCAGGCCACAGCCTGGTCCTTCTGGATCACAATCTCTGTGGGCCAAGTCGGAGACTCAGTGCAGAGTCGAGCTCTTCAGAGTTGAGCTCTTTGCGCCCGGCACTGTGGGGTGTCCCTCCCAGCCACTCCGGACTCCCAGCCGCGTCGGGAATGGGGTAGCAAGAGCTCAGTGATTTTCGGGCTGGGTCTGATGTGGAGTCGCCGTCTTATTTCTCAGCCCCCTCTTGGTTTCACCACTGAGAAGAGACCCAGGACCGAGGCCCCAGGTGGCTTCCTCGCTGGGCTTCTCTGGGCAGCTTCCCCCGGGCCTCGTGGGCGTGGGCCCGGCCTGGCTGTGGCTGTCCTCATGGGGCCGCAGACCCCGACGCCCGTCTGTGGAGGCCAGAGAGCACCAGCCGCCGGCGTGTCTTCTCTTTCCGCGGCTGCCCCTCTCGCCGTGCCCTGACCTGTCCTGGTCTCTGCTCTCCCCCTCAGTGGTGTTTCTCGAAGCGCAGAGCTGGCAGCACTAGGGAACTCGGTAGAGCATTTGCTGGGCATTGGGTCAGGCAGCGCTGGACACAGTCCCAGTGACGTGTTCTTGAATGTACTTGAGGTCAAGGGGGCCAGAGGGTCTGTACCCCCCAGGTCTGTGAAAATGTCAACCACAGTTAACACTTCTGGAGCACTTACTCTGAGCCAGGAGGGGTACTGAGCACCTTTTCAGGGGTACTGAACTGTGAGGCCAGGTTCGATGGCTCACGCCTGTAATCCAGGCACTTTGGGAGGCCAAGGTGGGAGGATCGCTTGAGTCCAGGAATTTGAGCCTAGCCTGGGCAACATAGCGAGAACTCATCTCTACAAAAAATAAAAAAATTGGCCGGATGTGGTGGTGCGCACCTGTAGACTCAGCTGCTTGGGAGAGTGAGATGGGAGAATTACTTGAGGCCAGGAGGTCGAGGCTGCAGTGAGCCGGATCCCACCACTGCACTCCAGCCTGAGCGACAGAGTGAGACCCTATCTAAAAAAAAAGAAGGAAGGAAGAAGGATAGATTTTAATGTACAAGGAATCTGTTACAAAAATGTTAAGAAATGGACTTCAAATGCTGACATTTCAGATGGAGGTTCAAATCACGTCCAGGTGAGCTCTGGGTTCTGGTCACCTGGGCCATCTTGGCAAGTACTGACTAGTCTCTGAGCCTTTTCTCAGCTGTTTGTGAAACAGGCACGAGGTCTTTGCCGTTCACCTTACACAGCATTAGAAGCGTCAGACGGGAGTGTTTGTAGAGGACCTTTCGCTGAGCCAGACTTCCTATAACTGGGAGATATAGTGGTGTGTGAGGGTTAGTTTCTTTCTCTCTTTTTAAATTTTTTTTGAGTTGGAGTCTCCCTGTCACCCAGGCTGGAGTGCAGTGGTGCTCTCATGGCCACCGCAGCCTCGACCTGCTGAGCTCAGGCCATCCTTCCGCCTCAGCCTTCCAAGTAGCTGGAGCCACAGGCACGTGCCACCATACCCGGCTAGTTTTTCTGGATCTATTGTAGAGACGAGGTCTTGCCAAGGTGCCCGGGCTGGTCTTGAAGTCGTGGGCTCAGGCAGTTCTCTCACCCCCACCTTCCAAAGTGCCGGGATGACAGACGTGAGCCACCGCACCCGGATGAGGGTTTCTTAAGAGGTGTGCGTGGGTGAGTGGGGAAGGCCCCGACTCTGCAGTCAGACCACCCCAGGCCTAGGTCTCAGCCCCAGCACTCCGCTGCTGGGGATTGCAAGTCACAGAGCCACTCTGAACCTTGGTCTCCTCATCTGTGGTGCAGGACTTATAAGGAACTAGACAAGTGTTAAGTGATGTGAGGCAACACAAACTCAGAGAGGTTGGAAACAGCATGGAAAATACACAGCTGGGCAACTTCACACCAGAAGAAAACCGGGTGGTGACATTCAGGTAGACAAAACAGAGCATAGCTCCCATACAACATAAGGACAAAGATGAGTGTTATGTGCTTGTAAAAGGCAATAACTGTGGTGTGAAAATCAAAGGCGCATTTGTATTGCATAATGTAAACTTGAAACCTAAGAGAACAACGGACAGGAGGAAGCAGACAGACCCGCCACTGGGCCTGGAAGTTTTTAGCACACCCTCTCAGAGAATGACAGAGCGAGCCGACAAGGCGTAAGCAAGGAGAGAGCACACTGGAAGGGCATGCCTAATGGCCCGACCCCACGTGGGACAGTCGCGGAAATTCATCGTGTGCTAGGTCACAAGAGGATTTCAGTTGATTCTGTTGAATCGACATCCCACCGATTATTCAGACCGTAAAGAAACGAAGTTATTATTAGAAAGCAACAATAGTGGTTGAAATTTTACATGCCTAGGTATTTTAATACGTTACTATGTTAGAAACGCGGGAAGAGGAAGTCATGATGGGTGCAGAAGAAACCGAGAGCAGAATAACAATGAAAACATGGTGTCAAAAACTGGAGAGGGATTTATAATTTTGGATTTATCATAAATAAGAGAAATTGAAAATAAAAGCTGCAACTCTGAAATTCACGGAGCTCGACTCCCAAAACATAAAAGAGCAACAGATTTACATCCAAGAAACAAGGAAGGAAGGAATAACTACAAAGACGAATGTGAACGGTGTTTCAAAAATAAAGGAAAAGGGAAAGAGTGAAAATGGTTAGCACCAGCAGCAAAAACGAGTCCTCTGCAAAGACTGGGACCCAGATTGACTAATGCAAGACTGATGGCGACAAAAAGAAAAAAAGAAATAAAATACAGAATAAAAGAGAAGTGACTACAGACATAACAGATTAAAAATCATAAAATGTTATAAACGATCAGTAAGTTGGAAACCTAGATGAAATAGATTTCTTTCTAGAAAAATATAAATGCCAAAATGATCACAGAGAGAGATAAACAGACCTTGAACCCACCGTTAAAATCACTGATGGTAATTTGCCACCCTCAAAAGCCTCAGACCAATATGGTTTATAGATAAGATGTACTGCACTTTATGGACCATGTGATTCTGATATCATTTATAAGCTGTTTCAGAAAATAGGGAGATGGGGAAAGGTGTCCCGTTTGTTTTATGATTCATTATAAAATCCTTATACCAAAGCCAGATATGAATTGTACAGAAACAAAACTGTGGATATTACTTTGACTCATGCGTGTGTAAACTTAAGCGTTTTACATCAAGTGGGCTTTGCCCTCGGAACCAGGGATAGTTCTGCTTTAGAAAGAACCATCACAGGCTGGGTTCGGTGGCTCAGCCTGTAATCCCAGGCTTTGGGAGGCTGAGGCGAGTGGATTGCCTAAGCCCGTGGGTTTGAGACCAGCCATAGCAACTTGGCGAGACCTCATCTCTACAATAAATAAAAAATTAGTCAGGTGTGGTAGCGCACGCCTGTGGTTCTGGCTACTTGGAAGGTTGAGGTGGAAGGATCATGGAGCCCAGCAGGTCGACACTGGGGTGGCTGTGAATGTGCCACTGCACTCCAGATGGGGGGCGATGGAGTGAGACTTCAACTCAAAAAAAAAAGAACCATCACTTAAGTTGACCAAATTCATGGACTGAAGGGAAAAATAACCTCATGATTATGTCAGTAGATTTAGGAAGGTATTAAGTACAGTTCAATGCTAATTTCTAATGAAAGCCCTTGGAAAATTAGGAATTGAGAAGAACTTCCTCAGTCTGATAGATGTTGTCCTCCAAAAAACTACAGTGAAAAAAAAATTTTTTTGAGTTAGGGTCTTACTCCGTCGCCCAGGCTGGAGTGCAGTGGCACGTTCACAACCATTATGGCTCACGGCAGCCTCGACCTCGTGGGCTCAGCTGATCCTTCCACCTCAGCATCCTGAGTAGCTAAAGGCACGTAGGACCACTCCCAGTTATTTTATTTTTTTTTTGTAGAGACAAGGTTTTCCTGTGTTTCCCAGGTGGTCTTAAAATCCTGGGCTCAGGTAGTCTTCCCTCTTCGGCCTCCCAAGGTGCTGGGATTGCGAGTGTGAGCCACTGCACACGGCCTACAGGGAAAATATTTTTAAATTCTTCTTTTTTGTTTTTGAGCCAGGATCTCAATCTGTCGCCCAGGCTGGAGTGCAGTGGCACGTTCACGGCCACCCCAGTGTCAACCTGCTGGGCTCCAGTGATCCTTCTACCTCAGCCTTCTAAGCAGCCAGAACTACAGGCGCGCACTACCACGCCTGGCTAATTTTTTTTTTAATTGTAGAGCCGGGGTGTCCCCAAGTTGCCTGGGTGGGTTTCGAACCCACAGACTCAGGCAATCCACTCACCTCGGCCTCCCAAAGTGCTGGGATTACAGGCTGAGCCACCGAGCCCGGCTTTTTTTTTTTTTTTTAAATTTCAAGATGTGGGGTACAATTCAGGGTTAGGTATATAAGTGGTCAGCATACAGGTGGAGTTTGGGCCTCCTATTGATCCTCACTTTGCCTGATTTGGGATCAGGCACCCTTATGGATGCTGTGTGCCCCTCCCTCCCCTGGCAGTGACCCACTACTGCCAGTCCCTTTCAAGCAGTATTATGATTAATGTTCGGGGTCCACTAATGAGGGAGCATATGTGGTACTCAGTTCTTTGTTTCTGTGATAGGTCACTGAGTATGATAGACTCTCAATCCATCCGAGTTGCTGCGAGGCCCATACTTTTGTTTTACTTTATGGCTGTGGAATTTTCCCTCGTGTATGTGTGCCCCATTTTTTAAATCCAGTCCTCTTTTGATGGGCAGCACAGTTGGTTCCATGTTCTTGCTTTTGTGAGCAATGCTGTAATAAACGTGCATGTGCAGGTGTCTTTTTCATAGAGTGATTTGAGATCCTCTGGGTATATTCCCAGGAGGGGGGTTGCAGGATCGTAGGGGAGGCCTAGTTTTAGATCTTTTAGGAATCACCACCTGGTTTTTCACGGAGGTGGTCCTCGGTTCCACTCCCACCAACAGAGAAGAAGTGCTCTCTTTTCCCCGCATCCCTGCTAGCATCTGTTGTTTTGAGTTATTGATGGATGATGGGCATCGTGACTGGAGCGAGGTGGTGTCTCCGTGTGGTTTTGAAAAGTCCAGAGAGATTACAGACCTGATGGGAAAGCCAGTAGGTAGACATGCAGGATCGCTTTGAGACCTGGGAGGGGGCACGGGGTGCACCAGTTATCATGGAGAAATGGGCCGGTCTGTCTGGGTCGGGACGGGACAGCCCTGAGTCTGGGCAGCTGCTCCCTCAGAAGCAGCCTCAGTGACCCACCCCTGCCGCCTTTTCCCAGGAACAGTCATGAAGAAGGGCTCCAGTTCTTGCACCCCGCCGCCTGGGCGTGAGGACGGGCGCTGAGGTCAGGCGGAGGGCGCCCTCAGGCTTATGTGGGGCAGGTGACTTGGTCTCCCCTGCTCTCCTGTTTGGGGCTCAGACCCACCCATGGAGGAACACCTCAAGTAAAGGCGAGGGCAGCCACGGGCGGCCGTGGGAGCTGGCACTGTGGGCCTCGGTCCCTCTGTTGCCGCCCGCGCCTTCGGGGCGGGTGTGGCTGGCCGCC